GAATCAATTAATGGCATATTCCATACGAGTGCATTTCCGTCGTCTTTGGATGCGCATATCAAATTTGTCCAGTTGTCATTCATATTTCGAAGGATTAATAAATTTTTGAATGCATAACTCAGTTGAAAATGAAGGATTATAGTAATTAAAACTTTCATATTGCACCTTTCAACGTAACAAGTCATTACATCGTTGTTAATTTTTGAAGTGAAAACTTCTTTAGAATGGGAGTTATCTGAATAGTAAATAAACGGAAACGCAGCTATGAAACGAAGCTATGTAACGAAGCTGTGTAACGAAGCTATGAAACGGCTGCTATACTAAATCATGAGAGAAAAAGAGACAAACATATAGGATTTAGCCTGCGAGAGAATGAGACGGAATATAGCTATACAGTTTTTTCTATTCTCGGTCTCCTCTTTATGTTATGCTTCGTAGTTATCGCTCCTGGTTGTACATGTGTGTGTTTGTGTGCGACTGCATACTACAAGGCGTGGACACCTATATAATAATTTCGATACTATACCTGTTTGTAGGTAGGAGCGATAGAAGGGTAAAAGGAATAAAAAGAGATAAGCACGTAGGTATGCGACAAAAGTATAAGGTCCAAACGAACCGACGGTCGAAATAAAGAAAGAAGGTGCGTGGACTGTTTTTATTTTACCAAACGTGGTATTTCTTTTCTATTTAAAAATGTTTCTATTTTATTGAAAAATTAGTATTAAATTCTTTATTTCGCAAATATTATAATAAATAATTATGAAGTACATAGAATATATAATAATTGTATTGTCTGAAATATTAAAAAAAAAAAGAAGGATTACCAGATACATCAGAGAAAAAGAATTAGAAAATACTGTGGAATAAATTAGGAGCAGCTGACAAATTCCATTCAAAAGCAAGTAAATTACTGTTATATTTTTATTTTGCTTCTTTATAAAATATATTTGATGCATAAAGACAAAATATGTCTATTAAATTTGATTTTTTTATGTTCTTATGAAAAATATCCAAAGAGATGTACTGACCCATGCATATATGAAAATTATATTATAAATTGTGATATTTGCGTATTTAGGAAACTTATAGTAATTTTTCAATAAAATAAACAATTTTTTAAGATGTTGAACGCCTAGCGTGAATCGGTGGAGCTTACCACGGGGCCTAAATTTGAGACTCGTAGTGTACACAGTTCGATAAGCTGAGAGAGCGATATGATGAGTCTCATCAGACCTCTCGAGGAGTGAACATCGTGAACGCCGCGTACCGTCAAAAACGATAGAAAGCGAAATTCATCCCTGGCAGTCACTGCTGCGTGCCAGTTAAATAAGTGGGTGCATAAGTGACATGGCCATTTTTACTCCACATTCCTTTTATACATATATTCAACTATAGTTGGAGAATAAAAAAAAAAAAAAAAAAAAGAGAGGAAAAAAAAGGACCGGCATCCTAATGGCGTCGGCCGACAACAATGGCGTGAACGCGCCAGTGAAAAAATATAATAAGCCGCGTGCTCAGTATAAACATACTAGCGGAACTCGAGACTCACTACAGCTAGATAAAATTTTTAAAGAATTCATGGCAAAAATGGAGCCAAAGCGTGAAGAAGTTAGACCAAATTTGGTAACGCGAAAAAGAAAGGGATCAGATGCGTCCACGCCGTCCATAGAAATAGAAAATGGATGGGAACAACCAAAGAGACCAAGTAAGATAAGAAACAATAAAGARACATCTAGGGAAATAGAAACAAATAACCAATTCGAGGCACTGACCCAAGAGGGCCCCCAAACTAGTAACTCACAGCGCCGACTGGCGTCGGAGCATGAAGCCACAAAGGAAGATGAAGCGAACGAAGCGTGTAATGCGACCAKCAGGGAGCAGCACAGACGCTCAAAACCTCAGCCCATCTTCATAATGGGCGATGACGTCAAAGTAACCACTGACGCATTAACGGAGAAAGGGATAAGCTCCCAGAATTTCACAATCAGACAAAACAACGGTAGCCACCTAATAAGAGCGAAGGACAATGAAACCTACAACCTAATAAAAGAAAAGCTAAAAGAAAGCAACGCTCAATWTTACACATACACCCCAAAAGAATTAAAACCACAATCGGCAGTATTAAAAAACTTCTACGGCGGATATAGCAGCGAAGACATAAAAAGAACACTTGAAGACCTCAAACTCCGCAATGTCGAAATAACGAAGGTAATTGCAATGCCATGCAAAAGAAGCAGCTTTATGAAACATCACTTCATCGTACAAATCAAACCTGACAGCAACAAAAAGGAGCTGCTGAGGGTAAAGCAATTGCTCAGCCAAAATACGCGGTGGGAGCAACTGATCAAAAAAGGCATCACGCAATGCAAAAACTGCCAAAGAGTGGGGCACACTTCCTCGCAGTGCCAAATGATGTACAGATGTGTAAAATGCGGAGGAAGCCATGAAAGGGGCAAGTGCCCAATCACGGCAAACGACCCCAAAGAAATGCTACTATGCGTGAACTGTGGGAAACGCGGACACCCGGCATCCTACGAGGGTTGCCCGTATAGGAAATTCGCGGCAGAACAATCGAAAATGTGCAAAAAAGAAACGATAGAGAGGATAAGAAGAAGAACCGTTATCAACGAAAGTCTTCAACGAAGAGCAAACGAAAAAATAATAAACGACGTTAACGCCTGGCCACTGTTACCAAAAACAAGGCCTACCTATCAAACCGAACCAACACAAAACGCATGGTTTAAATCAGGGCAAAAACCAATGCCGGTTAACCAACAAGATATAAATAACAATAATAAGGAAGTACCATACTGGGCAAACGAAATAATGAGAAGTATGCAAAAAATTGACAGAACAGTTGAAAAACTCAACAGTCAAATTAGCAGATTCGAAGATATAGAAAACAAAGTCAATTTTCTATTCGATCAGCTAGGTTATAAAAATGACTAATACAGCACGCAGAAATGAAAACATGAGATTAAGACACACGTCTAACAACCAAACAATAAAAATAATAGCGATAAATGTGAACTCAATACARCACAACGTCAGAAGATTAGAACTACTAGCGCTACTAGAGGACGCCTCTCCGGATATCGCCCTAATATCGGAGACAAAGCTCAATGCCAATCACATAATCAAATATAAAAACTATGAAATAGTCAGAACCGACCGCCCGAAATCCAAGCAAGGAGGAGGTACAGCAATCTTAGTAAAAAAGGAAATCAACCATGAGGTCGTAAGATACYCAACTTCAGCAGGTAATGAAATAATAGAATATACAATAATAAAAATYAAAACGAACAATAATCTGCCTAAAAATTTATTTGTAGTGAGCCTATATGCAACAAACTCCAATAAAACTATATTCATCAACGAACTCAACCATCTATTGACAAAAATTCAAGCCGAATATCGGGGCTGCGCCTTTGTAATAGCTGGAGACTTTAACGCAAGAAGAACTGAGTGGGGCGACCACGCCGACAATGAAAGAGGCAAGTACATGAGAAAGTGGGAATATTCCGATGCCAGTAAATTCAGAGTAAAAATATACACGACCACCACTCCAACCCGCTTGGACAGTTCAACGTACCTAGATATCTGCCTAACGAACCTCCAAATAATAGACCTGGTAAATGGTAAAATTAAAACCCGCTCTTATGATAGCGACCACCAAGCGCTACAGTTTACAGTGAAATTACCCAACCATGCAGAATATGACAATAGTAGAATCGAAAAACACAGATACAACTACAAAGCAACAAAATGGACCAAATTTARGAAAAAACTACAAAAGAACTATACCAGCAAAATCCCAGACAAHAGAAACCTAGACATAGACGAAATAGATAATAGCATTACTGAACTAAACGATGTATTACTGACGACCATTGAACAAACAGTACCAAAATTCAAACCGCATAACAATATTCACAAATACCTCAATRCCAAAATAAAAAAACTGCAAAAGAGCAAAACATGGTACATCCAAACACTTCACAAAATGCAAAGGAACAACCCAAGCAGATGGAGAAGCGAAATAATAATAACCAAGGTAATCATAAAATGCATTAAAGAGCAATTAAGAAAAGAATTTGCTAGGGCGACGGCCAGCTATTACGAAGGGCAGCTAAAACAGATAAACCACCAAGATGCGTCTACCTTCTTCCCTAAGATTAACAGACTGCTAAGAAGCAAAGAATGGGTTAAGATTGGCGATCAGGTGGTCGATCCCAACGACCCAATCATTAATAAAYTAAACATTAACACCGATAACATAAACACCGAAGGTAAAATAATTATCACCGACCCAACAACTAAACTAAATGTGATTGGCAACTACYTAGAATCCATCAATTCCACAAGACACCTTAACAACGGCACAAGGCTAAAGGAAATTGTAGAAACTAAGGCAAAAAAAATCAAACAAGAACTCGAACAAAACAGGAGAACAAAACGCACACACCTAAACTTCAGTGATATCAACAGAGCAACTCGTCCGAATTACGAGGCAGCCAACGCGTACTACTGCAACTATAACAGCTTAGACAAAATACTTAAGCATCTACCCAACAAAACCTCCAGTGGGCTGGACGGGATACCCCCCCATAGTGCTAAAACATCTGCCAGCAAATGTAGTGAGCAACCTCGTAGTCATTTTCAACAACGCAYTAAACCACTCTTACTATCCAAAAATATGGAAAAAAGCCAAAGTATTACCAATACTCAAAAAAAATAAGGACCCAGGAGAGCCATCGAGCTACAGACCGATAAGCTTAACGCCTGCACTCAGTAAGGTCTATGAGTCAATCATTACAGCACAGATAAATAAATTCTGCCAAGATAATTCTATAATCCCAAACCARCAATTTGGGTTCAGACATRAGMATTCCACAATTCATGCTATCCACTACYTACTGGACTTCCTAGCAGAAGAACTTCACTATAACCGAATGATAGGGGCTGTACTGATTGACCTGGAAAAGGCCTTTGATTCGGTGTGGCTAGATGGATTAATATACAAATTAATAAAACTAGGGTTCCCGTCGTGGCTAACTCTTATTACATGGGACATGGTGCACAACAAAAGATTTATAACCTGGGACGGTAACAATACCTCGAGCAGAATTTTTAACATTGAAGAAGGGCTGCAACAGGGCACAGTTTCATCCCCAATACTTTTTGTCATCTTCACAGTATCACTACTAAAAATGTTCAATCTGAACAAAGAGAACAAGCGAGCTATTGCATTCGCAGATGACGTGATTGTTTGCGTGTTTGAAAAAACACCAGACAAGATCAAGGAACAGCTTCAAGATCTACTTGATAAAATCAATCGGTTCTACAGAATGTGGAATCTGAGGGTAAACCATCAAAAATGCGAGAGTATCCTGTTCAGAAGAACTAGTGAACACATGGGCAGACATCAAAAAAGAAACAGAAATGATTTCGGAATAAGGCGACGGACCCAAATACAGGAGAAATAGTACAAATACCAAGAAAAACTACAGTAAAATATCTAGGGATGCACATTGAACATCTCGCTAAGCTCAACGGACATCTCGAGACACAATTGAATAAAGCACGAATGGCTTTCAAGGCAAAYAGCAGACTTTTCCACGCAAGAGGGCTAAATGGAAAGGCCAAGGTGATTTGCTACCAACTGCTAATAAGACCGATACTTACCTACGCGGCGCCCATATGGTGGAACGCCAGCGCATCTCAAATGGAAAAACTAAGAATCTTCGAAAGGAAATGCTTAAAAGCATGCCTTGGAGTATACCGATCAAGAGAATCAAAYTACAAAAAAATCATCAGTAATAGGATACTCTACAACCTGGCGGGGATYCCACGAATAGACAACTTCATCATAAAACTAACAAGAGATTACTTAAGCAAAATGCCAACCAGTGCTAATAACGAAATAAAACGACTGGCGTTAATCGACGACACGAAGGCGATAACAAGGAACCAAAACTCGGCGTGTATCCCACCGCAGGCGTTCACGTACTTTGATAAAATTGGAGTGATCCAAGACGCCAATAACAGGCCGATCATATACCATTGGCGTCGACACCAAGCCAACAAGAAAATTGAGCTAAGGCCAGAAGACATCTTGTCGCCGAACACGGACTGGGTCTACTCAATGACAATCCCAGATTGCGACAAAATGGACTTCAGAAGGCTAAGTAACAAGTACTGGTGGCTAAGGGAAGAACCAGCTCATAGAAAAGAACTCATAGACAGAAGAAAGAGGGGCTGGTTTGAAATATAAGACTGAAGAGACTATAACGAAACATATCAGTATTAYATAGGCTAATATGGAGAAGATAAGACTTAACACATGATATACTTTGATACGACATAATACATAATGTACTTTTTCTTTCTTTCTTTTTTCTATTTATAACGTTACCAGAGACAAAGTGATGTTTTTTCTTTTTGTTATACTACTTTTTCATCACTAGTATAAGTTTCAACTATAGAA